ATTTCTTGGCCAAATACAGCACTTGCATGACATTGTCTGCGTTCAAGTTCACTTCATCGCTGTACATGAAACGAAACATCTCCAACAGGCTTTGATGATCGCAATCAGAAATATCGATTGAATCTTTCTTCTCGGCCAATTCACCGTAAAACATGGCATAAAATACTGGGCTACTGATCGCCAACAAGAACTTGTGAGCTGGAATCTTCTTCATACTTTCACTTCCGCCTTCAGCGTCTCGAACGACAAATTTCACATCGCTCAAGAGCTTGTTGTTAAACATAAACTTACATCTTTCTCTGATTGTACATCTAGCTGTCGAACTCCAATAATCTTCACTGAACACATCGAGAGACATCCTTGGGCTGTTAAGTTTGAGTTTGATAAAACTTGCGATCGATTCTCTGCTAAGATTCCACCGAGATGAAACTTTCCTTTCGACGGTAATACGTTAACGTCACGCATGCAAAACGACTCCACATCGCGGGCTCAATTTTGTATCCATATCCCCTCCACCCCATTTGACCGAGCAAGTGCGCGGTCCAGTTGGGTAGATATTTTTCGGGCAGAAATTGCGAAAACCACTGTTTCTACATTTGCTTTTCTTTACTGTTCTGTAATTTAAGATGGAGATTTGAAGATTTAGTCTAAGGTCCTAGACTGAAAACAACACGGAAAAACAAGTCTGTTCTCAAACATGTAAACTGTCACTAGGACAACAGATTTGTGAAACTGTATGCAAACGTCTGCTTTACTTAATTAAACGGCGCTGTGTACCTGAAGCCTTAAAATCCCTGGAAATTTTACCCATACCTCTGGCAACATTTTATCGAGAGCACCAGTTGATGCCAGGCTAACGTCTTGGCGGTTAGCCGTAAATGCGTTGCTACTTTAGCGATCCCTTTTACACCTGTCAAATTTCTCCATACTGGTTAACGACAAAATTTTTCTTGGCTCTGTAAAGACGATTTCGGTAATTTTAGTAAAAATTAGTCTCCATATTTCACCTAGGTCATTAGTTCCCGATTACCTCTCTCGGTAGGTTTTGTAGCATGAAGCGATCTGTTCAAAGTACTAGTATCACTTCCCCCTTGGAATTTATATCCATCTGCTTATCCATCTTTAGTATAATTTCCAGAGCTAAATATAAGAAATGGACATTGTGATTGGTCAAAAAGCTCATCATCTGACGCTATATCCACCGCACTAGGGGCTTGGTTACTAAGCTCGGAACCTTTGACCATCTCGGCAATCAAGTAAACATGGCGGACAGTTGGTGAATGAAATTTTCATCTGTTCGAAAGACATCACTCCAAGTCCAGGATATTTGAAAAGATGGAGAATTTATCAAATTGACTGCTGTCGCCCTTGGACCCACAATCTTTTCAAGAACTCGCATTCAAGGCATTTATGAATCGTAAACGCAGTGGCTACATTGATCGCCAGCAGGTCAGCCGGAGCGATTGACCGAAATTTATTTTTCTTCAAACTAGAGCTACTCATTTTAGACGATGATGACAACTGTGAATGAAGTGAACAACGATAAAACAACGGTACTGGATGAATTTATTTTTCGTGGTGTTTCGCGCGTTCGTGTTACTGCCGAACTCGATGAGTAAATTGATTTACAATCGATGTACATGCAGGCTTATTATCAAAACTACGCCTGCATACGTGTACGCACACGAACTGCGTCTGTGTTTTTATGTTTTAGTCCGTTATTTTGAAGTCTTTGATTTTCACCTCTAAAAATTATGCTAAAACAATTATTTGCCTCAGGCTCAATGAACATTGATGGATATTCACCTCGACTTCGTCTCGGTGGAATATTCACCAATGTTCACTTCGCCTTCGGCGAATAATTGTTAAATACACCGAAGAGGAGAGAGGTACTGTGAGTTCAGTGTAGTGACAAGGAACACAGTACAAGGAAATTGATCAGGAAATAAATATAAATCCCAAAATATCGAATAAACTTAGGCTAAGGATAGGTTAGACTACGCTAACCATGAAGAATGATCAGTCTTAATCTCTCCTACTGATTGT